GATGGTTATCGATTCCATGCACAGTAGTCTGTACATGTCAGTCCCAGTCTCCCAGTCTACCCACCCCTCTGCCCCCACTTCCCTCTCTGATAACCATAAGTTTGCTTTCTACATCTGTGACTCTATTTCTGTTCTGTAAAGAAGTTCATTTGCACCAATTTTTTAGATTCCACATATAAGCAATATCACACATTTGTCTTTTTTACTGACTTTTCAGTATGACGATCTCTAGGTCCATTTGCATTGCTCCAAGTGGAATTATTTTGTTCTTAGAGACATCACTTTACCAACAAAGGTCCACCTAGTCAAAGCTATGGTTTTTCCAATAGTCATGTGTGGGTGTGAGAGTTGGACCATAAAGAAGGCTGAGTGCCAAAGAATTGATGCTTTTGAACTGTGGTGCCAGAGAAGACTCTTGAGAGTCCCTTGGACTGCAAGGAGATCAAACCAGTCAAACCTAAAGGAAATCAACCCTGAAAATTCACTGGAAGGACTGATGCTGAGGCTGAAGTGCCAATACTTTGGCCACCTGATGCAAACAGCCAACTTACTGGAAAAGACCATGATGCTGGAAAAGACGGAGGGCAGAAGGAGAAAGCAGCAACAGAGGATGAGATGGCTGGATGGCACCACTGACTAAATGGACATGAGTTTGAGCAAGCTTCGGGTGAAGGGGGTGGACAGGGAAGCCTGGCGTGCTGCAGTCTGTGGGGTCAAAGAGAGTCAGACACAACTTGGCAACTGAACAACAACAATGGCTGGGTAATACTCTGAAGTAGTATTCTGGCCACCTGATACAAAGAGCTGGCTCAGCGGGAAAGACCCTGATGCTGGGTAAGACTGAAGGCAAAAGGAGAAGGGGGTGGCAGAGGATTAGCTGGTTAGATAGCAACACCAACTTAATGGACATGAATTTGAGCAAACTCTAGGAGATAGTCAAGGACAGAGGAGCCTGGTGTGCTGCAGTCCATGGGGTCGAAAGAATCTGACACAACTAAGCGACTGAATGATAACAATATTCTGAAAATGTTCTAAAACTGATGGTGGTGATCGGTTGCAAATATCTGTGAAGGTATAAAAAATACTTGACTGTACACTTTAAATGGGTGAAGTATGCAATACCTGAATTCTATTTCAATAATGCTTTTTAAGTGGATACAGTGAGAAGGCTACTGCAATCTTCCAGCTAAGCGATAATGGGGGAGGGACAGAGGGGTGGACAGATGGAGGGGAAGAGAGACTCCAGGAAAAAGCAGCTTGGATAGAAGTGTGGGTCCTAGAGACTGGCTCTGGCGGGGGTTGGCGGGGGCAGTAACGGGTCACGGCCAAGCAGGGGGCACTTGGGGAAAGCCAGGACTGAGCCCCTGCTGTCTCAACCCTACGCTCATTTCCAGACTATGAAAGATGGAGAAAGCATCAGTGTTCTCCTTCCCCTGTAAAGGTGCTGTTTGAAGAATGACATCTTGCACTCTAGGTGAGGAAGACTGACATTTAGCCTCCTGGATTCACACAGACACGGGGTCAGAGCCTGGAGAATGGAACGTCCTTTAATGGAAGGGCTGAAAACAACTAGCGAGCGTTCAGAACAGACCCACCCAGCAGTTCTGTTCAGTGAATGCTTCCACCGTGGGACCCCTCGGGTTTCCACCGTAGCTAGTGAATCACAGTGAAGACGTGATTCAGCGCCTGAGCGAATGCCACATACATAATACCTTTCAAGAAGACGTATTTTTATTGCTGCACTTGAGGACAGCCCCTCAGAATCCAGAGTTCATCAAATCGATGCATCGGGCAGCATGCAAGGCCCCAAGTTCACTGGGCGGTGGGGGGGGGGTGTCTCTCTGCCAGACCAGCACGGCCTGCAGTTCATAGCAGAGGTCCTCTCACTCCAAGGTGAAGCTGAACTTGCGTGAAGATGCCTGCTTCCCATGGCATTTAAGTGTTGTGCTGAGAACTCCAAAGAGGAAGGAAAAAAAAAACAAAACCCTGCAGTATTGATGATGGGCCTATTATTTACACAGAAGTGCTTGTTGCTTGACAATTTAGATAAAAATGTTACTGCCTCTCTGCATGTGCTGCAAATTCATGGTGTAAAACCACTGGAGCAACTAATGGAGTCTTCACACATCATATCTTGTTAAAGACGAGGGGTCCTTCCTCCATTGGGGTCACAGCCCAGTGGTGGTGGGGGGCCACCCAGGAATGCAACCTGGCCACTGAGGGCTGCTGACCAACTGCCCACGGCTCCTGCTTTTTTTTAAAAAAAGAAAAAACATGAACTCTGTTTTCAAATAGCCTGGCCACCACGGGCTACTGACCAACTACCTACAGCTTCCTCTTTTTTTTTTTTAAACAAAAAAAAAGTGAACTCTGTTTTCAAACAGCAAGGTCCTACAGATGCTGGTTTCCCATTTATCCCCCAGTGCAGCAATGGCGGAAGAAATGCTGGACACTCACACACAATTTATCTCTCTCTACTTCTGACCAACGAACAACCTATTTACTCCTAGGAGTCCTGGAAAAACATCTTCAAGCCCTCGACCGTGTTTCCAGAAGTAACTGAAAAAAATTCCAGTGCCAAGGGCACAAATGGGAAATTGACAGCTAGGCACCATAAGATAATACTCGTTGCTATTGTATTTCTAACAAATGTGGATAATGAGGTCATCCGTCCGTTTTACTATCCAGTTCATCACCTTCATGTGCACTTTTAATTGAAACTTAACCTTTATATGCCATCGTCCAAGCGACAGCAGAACAGAAATACATCTCCAGAGGGGAAGATGGTATGAGTTTTTCTCCAAGTAAATCTCTCAAGCAACACTACCCTTACTTTCCTGTTGAGTTGAAAGCAAACTCTGAAACGCTACTGGCTTTTTCAGCTCTGATCGTCCATTCCAGCTTCTTAGGCCGGTGCGGGGATAACCAAGCAGAGCCCATCACCCCTCTTCGAGAGACCCCCGGTGCAGCCCTTAATCCACGCCAAGGGCTCATTCCTCCGACCCTTTCCCCAGCCAAGCTGCCCATCTCCACCAAACTCTCCCAAGGAGACAGAGGTGAGCAAATGTTAAGTCTACCAACTCATTTCATAGGTGACCTCTGAAAGATTCCACCGCGGAGCTCGGGAGAGCCGAGGCAGCTTTATTAGCATGCTGCACCACGGCCCCAGCTCCCTCCCTCCCTCTTTTATGAGCCCCTGGTATATAAAATGCCACAAAGGAAAAAGGAAAAACAACAGGCTCACAGCGACAAACACAAGTTCCAATGGCCAGGACAAACGCTGGC